ACAGGCCAGTCGGTCACGCTGACACTGATGACTAATGTTAAAAGAATACAATTGCCAATTTATTGCATTGTTTTTCCATTAATAGGACTGTGCCAGTCATGGAGTTAGAGAGGCAAATTTGTCTTGTTAGCTTCATTTGGAAAGTTAAGTGTTAGCTATCTGCCTGTTTATATTTTTAACCTACGAGGTAAGAGTTTACATGAATGTATTGTGCTTTACCTTAGACACTTACAAGACCACCACTCTGTCACCGCTACCTACTTCTCACTTAGCCAAAAAGTTAATGTATGCAGTCAGCTCTTAAATGCCTGGAATCCTTTATGATAATTGCCATCAATGTAAAGCATAGTGTGCTTCTAAATCAAAATTATAGTGATGTATATCAGGTGTTTTGTTCAACAGACATGTTTCTCTGCCAACACAGTTATTCCAGCTGAAGCTTTGATACAGTAGATCCTGGATAATGAAGACCTATGCTCATGACACAATAACCAGTGTGAAAGAATCCACTGAGTCAGTCGGAGGGCGTGTTCCCATGTAGAGTTATCCATCAGTCACAAAACAGGTGAGTAAGCAGGAATTAGCATTGTTCAAAGTGCTGAAGAGGAACAAAACGCCGTGTCTTCTTTCAATTCATCATTTCAGTGCACAGCCACTTTAAAATGCATATCAGGTTATACAAAAAACCTCACTGCACACATGCGTGACTACACAATATTTTTAGCAGGGTCAGTCTCCCTAGCAACTTCTGAACCTGTTGCTCAGCCCAGATTTGAGGAGATTATGTTGCAGCTGTCACTGCTGGAGGAGGAAGGGTGGGCAGAGGGCAGCTGTTGTCCGGCGGCTTTAGCAGTGGCCGCGCAGAGGCTGAACTGGCCTAACTCAGTAGTGCTGGTTCTCATACATGAGGGAGACCAGAAGGAAGAGCTGGGGCGTTGCAGTGAAGAGAATGGCACCCTTTAGGTACAAAACCGCAAATCTGTAGAAATCGGGCTTCATTGCCTCTGTGCCTGCTGGAGCAGCTTGTTTATAAGCTCGGGATTCTAAAGGGTTCTTTGTGTGTCATTGTGATTAGGGGTAATAAGGACAAAAAGAACAGTTTCACTGGCTGGCAGTGAGAGCCATTCCCCCCTGCCCTTCAGGCATACATCCTATTTCAGCAGTAAAGCATAAGGTAATTGGATTTTAACTGTTGCTTTCAAAAAGGTAAGAGTATTACCGTAATTATTTAGTACAGTTTATTCATACAGGTAAAAAAACCGTATTATAATTTGCCTGTGGGACTAAGTGATTTATGTGTGCATCTGTTTGTTACGTTGTCAGGGCTGTTAAAAACTTAGGGGTCACTTACAAATGAGTTCACCGTGATTTTAGAGTGCTATGACAACAGGACTAATTTATACAATTGCAAGGTACTGAATAAAGTCACAGTTTATTGAAGCTTTAGAGAAAAGTAGTAAAAGACAATTGGAACATGTCAGAAGCACAGCATAACTTCCACGTCTTTGTTAATTTTCACAGGTGTAGCCAATACTTGTTTGTTTGCTTTTCAAAATATGTCTGGGAACATCCAAGAGGGTTTACGAAAAATGTCACCAAACTCAGCTTAACCACGTCCACTCTTGGTTAAGTGTGTAATAAAACTGTTCTGTTAGCCAGAAGGACTCTTACAGTACGTTGATTTCTTTTCAAATCTGACCTCCAGTTAGCATACAAACAACATTTGTTGTTAATGCTGAAAAACTTAATACATATGTTACCAATGTTTAATATTATTTTGTCTTCCCATCGGTCCTTAAAAGCACAGTGTATTTTCAATATCTCAAAATTCAATGCCTTTTTTCCAGATTTTTACATTCCATTATGAGAGAAGTTTGATAAGGTACTGGACACCAGCACATCAGCATTTTTCTGTAGGGTCAGCAGCGTTTGATGGCCCATGCGTTTCAGGCTTGACCCTTGGTATCTAGGTTGAGGTCAGCAGTTTGAGAGGGAAAGCAACGTTCAGGGTTGGGCAAATTGATTTATGAAAAAAAAAAGAAAAGCCTTTACTGACCTTCACTAAAATCTATGTCTGCTCTAAGATAAACTTGATCTTGCTAATAGGTAGAGCACTAGTACCAGCGGTGGAGGGCTGGCATCCCTAAGCTGCATATTGCTTTGAGTTCAAGAGCTTTCCCCTATGCCCTTTGGGGAATTCCAGCCTGTAGTCATGTGCTATCCAGTACACTGAGGCTCCAGTGATTTTATCCGTGGGGTCAGTATATAGTGTTATCCTAGTTGTCCTTATTATTGGATATGACTGTATTGTGCAGCTTCGTAACAAAGAGAAAATTCCAATTGGCCAGAGGCCTGGGTGTATGAAATTCTACAAGCACTGAGTGCATTTGATAAAGGCACAAAAGTTTTAAGACAGGTCTTCAGATAGTGTAAAGGCTGTTTTAAGGATGTCGCAAGCCAGCTTTACTTCATATTTTATAATAAGCAAAGAAACATGGAATGTCTGGCTCTGTTTTAGAGCAAGATCTGCATCTGATTTGCTTTGAGAAATATAAGTAGGTTTATGATTTAAACTCCAAAAGAAGTTGTAAATGTTTAAATGACACACGATAAACATTTCAAACTTTACTTCTTGCTTTAGGCATATGCGCAGAACATTTACAACCAGGCACATCATCTTGTCTAGCTAATAATTCCTAGGAATGCAAATTTCAGTGCAGTGGTTGCCATATATTTTATGTTCTGTGCATAGCAACCTTGGCAAAGTAGTTTTGTTAGAAGCAATAAACCAACATGAAAGGAAAATGGCAGCAAGTCTGAGCATTTGTCTTTGTTACTCAGTGTTTCAATTTTTTTTCTCCTGTGAAGATGATGATAAACTCAGATATGCTACGGAGTGCCCCTAATGGACATGTTCGCCCTTAATGAATTAACAGCTCCATGTGAAAACGTGGAGCACACGGGCAGTCTTTTTGCTTCCATACGGCAGCTGTAAAAATACTTGGCTGAGCGTCCTGACCTTCTTGCTTTCTAGAGCAACTAAGAGTTACTTGGCAGAGCCGGGTGGGGAGGGGCAGGAGTGCGCCTGGCATTGCGGGTGCAGGGGCGATGCATTGGCGAGAGGCCAGGAGGGACAGGCGTCCTGGCATGGAAGGTGAGGCCTTCTCTGCAAGGAAGGAAAAGAAGAAATCCCAACAGAGCAGGGTAATACCGCAGTCGTAGCTCCTGGAAGAGAAAACAAAGTGGGAAGTGCAGAGCTGGCTGAATGTGTTCTGTAAAACTACCAGCCAGTCTTCTGGCCTGCAGCATTCCCTTGGTGGTAGAAGCAGTTAATTGAAGGAAATACCCAAGGTTTAATATTTCTGTTATTATGGTTGAAAAGGAGGTAGAATCTTCTAATGAAGAACTAGACCCAGTCTCCCAGCCTCTGCCTCTGTTTGTCTCTTTGTCAGCTACAAAATTCTCAGAGAGTACATGGGGTTTATGGACACAAGGCAGAAATTGAGGATGTATTTCATCTGAAAAGTCACTATAGAAATGCCCAGTAATCTCTGCTGCCATTCTGTTTTAAAATAGTAACGTAATCAGTGGTCACCTTTGCCATTCTTGCTGCTTTTGTTCTGTGTATAGCTGTCGGTAGCATAAGAAAAAAATCAATAGGACATACCAAGGAGAATGATGCCTTATTGAGAAAATAGCAAATTGTGCCCTGTAGGGAAGACAAAATCCAAGGTTGTCTCTTTTCTTGGAGCCAACATGTACAAATACGGGTTACTGGTTTTCAAGATGCACTTCAGCTACCTCACAGAAGGTGAGTGCATCCTCTGTACTGTATCCACCAAGTTGTACTGTTTAGACAAACCAAGTGATTTCAGATATGCTTCACATCTCACTGGGCAGGAAATGCTAGTACTCTAAATACTTTTTCAGATGGTTTTCTGAGTGTCAGACATTTTTACTTGAAACTATATCTCATTTTTATGTATTTAGATATTTGCTTTGAGAGGGATCATCCTTAGCTTTCAACTCAAGTGGTCTTTTACTTCACTCGCACTTCCAGGACTGAATTTAGTAAGATTTTATTTGAACTATGTTATATTAACAAATGAAGAGTTTTCTTTCTTGTTGCAGCTTTCCATTTAAATATTTTGTGGAAAGGAAAAGGCTCTACAAGTCATAGAGGAGAAGAACAGCTTTAGTCAAAGCTGTGGCAGCGATAGTCGGTGTATGCTGCAGCTCATTTGCGACGACTGTATTTCATGCTTCAGGCGATGCTGTGTCTTAAGACTTCAAATGACACTGATAAATGGTCCTTCAGTGCAACATGCTTTATGTAATAAAGCAAAATGACTCGTCCAAAACATAAACCACTAAAGCAGGTCATAAGTGTTACTTACTCACCACTGCAGTTCAAGTTTCAGGCCAGCTTTTCTGCCCAGGTGGGTATTTCGGGAGCCAGGAACCTCTGGGCTACAGCAGGCTTCTATTCCAGGTCTTTCTAGGATTTCTCATCAAATCAGGCCAATTCCTACTTCTCCTGCTAAGAGCTTTATTCAAGAGTAGCGTGCACCTCAACTGCTTTTGTGACAAATGACAGACGAGAATCTGAAACAAGCTCAACAGACCAAAAGAAAAATAATTTACATGCACGAAAACAAGTGGTAACATTGGAGAGTACAAGATAGGGTAAAAATTAAGGTAGTGACCTGTGACAGAGGTAACTGAAGCTAAGCTCAGTGCATTATTTTGGGAGGTTTCAGGCCTATTCCAACCACCTACAAACCGGAAAGACACCTCTCTCCTTTTGGAAGAGGGCCTCAAATTACAAAGTACTGTCATTTTATCATCTACCTGGGGTAAGGAAATAGAGATCATTACATTATTAAGCTACTTGCTACTGGATCTAAATTTACGTGTCTTGGAGATAGTTAAGGAAGTAGTTGATTACACTGTTGTTTGAAGAACCATCCAAAATGTCTGTAGATGACAGTGGTCTGAAATACTGTTTTCATAGTTTTTCTTTATTTAAAAATTAGAGTAAGATGTGGATAAACACAAAGTTCACAATACAGGAAGGAAGGAAAAGAGAGTGCTCTAGAGCTAGACAAATGTAAGATACTCTTATGCAGACTGTTTATAAGATAAAGCAGTGAAAGCTTTTCTGATGTTGGCAACAAATGCAGAAAAGTTGTTGGTTTCTCTCACTTTGAGCTGGAACTCCGCTATGCAGTCCAGGGGAGGCGTACAGGAAGTCACTGAAATGACACACATTTCCAAAAGATTAGACTTTCATAATGAAGTTCAATAGTGTTTTTCCAGGCTTATAAAATACACATGTAGTTTATCTTTGTGTCTTTTAGCTTCCTCCAGTATTATTTTTGAGTGACCTATTCAACAGTTTTCCTTCAGCAAAGACAAAGCCTCAAAGAACACAGTTTTGTTATTTCCAGACCTCAAGATCAGTGCTGCGCTCCTGCTTGAATTGCTACATCACCTCCCAGTAATCCAGAGCCTGCTCAAAAATGGAACGTGTTCTTAAACAGTTCTGTTTCTCTATGGGCAGGACGACTGAAAATAGATGTAAACTTTTAGCTCGAGCACAGTTCGGATGTGAATTAGTAAAAACAGAAATCTCTCCAGCCCATACCCTGAGGCGTAGCAGAGCAACGGGAGCATCCTTCTAGCAGCTACTGAGCACAGGACCCCATTTGCTCCTGAATTAAGATCATTTCACAAAACCAGGTCTACGACCTGCAAGGCTGTACCCTTACAGAAGGGGAATGCTGGATTTCAAGTTCTAATCTTTCTCTGTCACACAGCTGAAAGGGTTCCCCACAGCAGTGGGGAAGGCAGTTTTTTCTGCCACCCAGGCTTCTCAGGGTGAACTCTGCCTGTCAGCGTAAGCTCTCACTCTAGCATAAAGGGAAGAAGCAACAAACTGAAGCATCCATCTACCTGTCTGTGTGTCTCTTCTCTCTACTGCTTTGCTTGCTACAAAGTAAACAGCAGCCCCACACATGGAGGGGAACAAAGATAAGCACTTGTAGTATATAATGTATAGTTTCACATACATTAAAAAAGGAACTTGATCTAAAAATATTACCAGTTGCAAGATTTTTTCCATTCAGAAATGGGAAGATACAGGTTACAACTAAAAGTACACTTTATTCCTCTCCCCTGTTTCAAATAGGGCCATCGGCGTCCTCTTGTTTAAGGATTTAAAATTCACATACCTTCATAGTCTCCTTGTTCATTTATGGAAAGGGTAAACACATATGGCTTGTCAGGATCTTTGTGGTCAATGTGTCTGAATATAAACTGTAATTGCTCATCTAAAGCAAACAAAAAAAGAATGAATAATACCATTAGCCTCTGCAGGAGAGTCATAATGACAAAAAAAAGTATCAAAACATGAAGCTACAGTTTCAGTTACTGTTCTTGGAATGCTTACAAATTAAGCAACCCTGGTCTCTTTCACAGATAAATGTATTTTTAACATACCATATTTTGTCATTTGAGAGACAGTGGCAATACCTGGGCTAAGACAATTATTCAGTTGCGTAAGCCAACATATTCTCCACTGCGTAATCCAGCCTTAACCACACTGTACCTCTGAACACAGAAACTATGGAAACCACAGAAGCTTACTGTGAATTCTGCGTATCTCCAATCCAAGCCGCTCTTCAAACAATTCTTTCGACTTGCATAGTCGTTCCACTCTCTCCTTAGCAGCTTTGTTTTTAGAAGATATTACTGGAAATTTACAAGCCAACATAAATATAAAAGTAAAGTTAAAACAAGCACATAAATATATACAGTAGAAGAGCCCGTCAAGAGTAAGTGTTGAATAAAAACCCTTCTCTAAGAAAATTTACGTATCTGTTGCTTGCTTACTTTCCTTTTTCTTCATCAACTCTTCTTTAAGCTCTTGGATGCTGTCAGTCAAATCCTTCTTTTGCTCTTTTTCTCGATTTAGGTTAGATTGTATTTCTGTCAAATGCTCTTGATTTTCTGATATGCGTTGGTTCTGCTGGAGAATCTCTGACAGGAGGCAAGAAAACACGAGGTATACAGGTGATTAATTAGGTCCTTGCTATTTAGTACTTGTCTATATGGGTTGGGATGACTGAGCATTCATTTCACTAGGTTTTATTCAGATATCTCAGCTGAAGAAAGAAGTCAGCATAACTATCCTAAGAGCATCAAGTAAAAGCTTAAAGCTCTTCAAGAGAAGCTACTAAGGGAGCTCCTCTGATACTCCAGTCAAATGTAATCTGTTTCTGGTGCCAGCACTTTGCACATCTTCAAAGCCTCAGGATAGTGAATCCTGTCCACAGACAAACAGTTTGACAGAAAGCAAGGAATAGAAACGCTGATTAAAGCTGCAGTTATTTTTACATGATATTCTGAAGTTGAACTACAAAATTCCCACAAGTTAATCCCAGACTGATAGGCTGACTGTATTCTATTACTAATACAGAAGAGGCGTAAGTAACTTGATAATATTTAACTTTACCAAACAATTTAATTACCTTTCCCATTGCAGTCAGCAAGTTCTGGTACTCTTTTAAGTACTTTAGCACCAAAAGCACTATACAAAAAAATATTTTATCAGCCCTTTATCTTTTTGCATCATCAACGAAGCTTTCCAACCAGTTGCTTTTGACTTCCAGTTTGCATCCTATAGCCAATCAAATAGGTTTGGTTTTATTTCCGTCTTCATTCTGATATTATTTACCTTTTAAAATTAAAAGTTAACTATAGTATTCAGGTGTGTTATCATTAACTTTAGAAAAGTTAGACAGAGTAAATAAAAAACCCCATACTGTACCATTGCTATACTCCTGAATTTTATCAACCATCAAGTCCCCTTCTTTCAGCTTCTTGGACCATTTCTCTATAATGGAAAGTTATTTCAGTTATTTTAAGAAGTTTAATGACAACTTGGAAAAAGTAGTAAGAGTGTAAAGAACATACAATAGGAACATTTTACCTGAGAGCACTTTTATCGACTCCTTGCATGAATCTCTCAGTGCCAGGGTCTGACTGATCTGTTCAGTACCATAAATGCCTTTTAGTTTGGTCCAAAATTCTTTGATTTCTCTTTCAAAGAGGGCTATTTCATCTTCTGTCTTTGTATGAGCCATGGCGCTGCAGCAAACACCTGAGTGAACAGGCACAATCCCGAGATACGCGAGACAATCGCAGCAGGTACCACTCCCAGCTGCAGGATAAGCCCCCGCGCCCTTTTTCTCCCCTCGGATCCTCCCGGGCAGCCCCGTTCCTCCGGCTCCTTCCCCAG